TTCCTTCTCCAGGGAATCTTTCTCTTACCCAGGGATCCAGAACTAATCTCCTGCTTGGCGGGCGGACTCTTTACCACTGAGTCACTAGTTTCACTTAGTATCATTATTATTTTCTCCCTTATTTTTTTTTTTAAGAGGAATCTGACACACGGGAGGTTAGACAGCTCACCCTAAGTTACCAGCTGAGTGACAGAATGACAGCCCTGGGCAGTCTGGCTTCAGAGCCACATCCTGAACTATTACAACAAACGTTACACGCACAGTTAAAACCTAGAAAGTGGAACCCATGTAAGGACTAGTATATATTTTCTGGTCATATAATAGACAACTACATTTTCAGTCAAATAATGTGATTATTTATATACTTGATTGGAGAGGGAAATGGCAACCCATTCCAGTGTTCTTGCCTGGGAAATCCCATGGACAGAGGAGCCTGGCAGCTACAGTCCATGGGGTCACAAGAGTCAGACACAACTTAGTGACTAAACCACCACCATAAATTTGATGATCACCTGTACAAAATGTTTTTATTTTATTGCCAATTTCTAGCTTAATATAGCACTCTGGAAATAACAGTTTCAAGGACATCTTTTTTTTCTTTAAATTTATTAAGTTGTTGATTCCACTTTATTTTTAATTGAAGCATAATGTCATGTTACTTTAGGTGTACAGCAGAGTGAGCATAAACTGACTATATACATATACATAGTTTATATATGTGTGCATATATACAAATATATACATAAGCAGATGCTTGTTGGTTATCTATTTTATGTCAGTATATACTAATATATATACATGTTAATCCAAAACTCCTAATTTATCCCTTCTACCCCCTTTCCCCTCTGGTAACCACAAGTGTGTTTTCTGTGTCTATGAATTTATTATTGTTTTTTTGTAAATAAGTTCATTTGTATTTTTATTTATTTATTTATTTTTTAGATTCCATGTATAGGTGATATCATATGATATTTGTCTTTTTCTATCTCGCTTACTTTGTTTGATCTTCTCTAAGTCTGTATGATGTCTTTCTTTTGATGTATGATGTTCTCTCAATTTTTAAAATCCTCAAATCTTACCTTATCTCTCTGTTTTAATTATCTTATAAACTATTGCATATTGCTCTGTCAAAAAATAATAAGTGGCCTTGGACTGGCTCTCTCACAAGAACTGATGGCCATCCACTTTTTCACCACATCCAAGGCTGTAGCTATTAACTGGCTATCGGGTCTGTTAGCAGAGTACTAATTAGGACTGAATGTGATTCTAACTTATGCTGTATGGTCATCAAACTGAATCATGATGCCTGGAGGAATATTTGATTGTAATTGAGAACACTTATATCCGTTAATGTTCAAGGATCCTCAATTTGGGAATGGCACTCCTCTCTCAAGTCTTTATCCTAGTCTTTATGGCACAAGTCTTAGAACTGCTGGGTGTAATTCACAGTCACTTGCTGTTGGGGAGTGTCTGGTATTTGACAGATGTGTTTAGATTCTACCAGAGGCAGGAGCAAGCACAGGTCAGGTGGAAAGGATTCTACCTCTGCATACTTTCTTAAACAACGCAGTCACGTAGAAGTTCAATTAAAGGTCAACTCTAAAACCCCAAATGTCAGGAAGTCTTCAGCAATCATCTGTTCATTCTAGCCCTCACCTTCACATAGGATGCAAATACGCTTTGTTAGCATTTCTCATGAAAAAGAGTCAGGACGTCCCCCTCACCCCATGCTTCCAGCAAGCAGGACTCCTCACGCTGTGTGGACGAGGACTCTACACTACACTCCTGTAGGGGCCTCTAGTCACCACAGGACTACTCAGCGTGGTCACTCCCCTTCCTCTCATGTGGCAAGGGTGTAGCCCTGCTATGCTTCCTTCACTGTTGGGCTCAAGACACCCTCACCCACCAGCTTTATGCTTTTGACATTGGGAAATACTTTTAATTACCTGCCCCTTTGGTTTCATGAGCAATAAGCACTAGCTGCTTTTTTTCAGCTGCTGAACACCCAACAGTCGACACTTAGAAGACAAGAGCACACTGCTTCTTTGCTCAAATTCATAAAATAAAATGCAATAAGACAAACTCCCCGCTCTCCAGATTGGTATGTCTCATTTTCACATATGTACGCACATATTTGTCATGTCAAAGATTTCAATGAACTCTGTAATCAGTGGAGCCAGATATTTGAAAAACTGTATCAAAGAAGAATTAAAAGAAAATGTACATATAGATAATTAGCAATACTGAAATAAAACTGCTAATGGGTGCAAAAGTCTTCAATATCCACAACTGAATCTCCCCCATGACAATTTTCTAATTTTTTCTGAAAATAACTTATAAATTCTTTCTTTATATGGGTCCCCTAACAGTAAAATAATCCAAATAAAATAACCACCATTTCTAATTTATTACAGTTCTTTAAAATTTGTTACCTCCTGAGAATTTTGAAACTTATGGAAAATATCTAAAATTTTGAAAATTTAAATAGTTATGTGGGACAATGGTTTATTCTGAATACTTACATTTTCTTAGATTATGGTTTATAATAAGCAGTTTCCTTCAAATAGTGGATCTTTTCTGTGTCAGTAAAAATTGTATGTTTAAGATGCAATTTCTTAGTAATTTCGATCAACTATCAGTGCCAAGGTATTTGTACAAGAGTATAAAACAATCCTGAAAAGGTTTCTCATGACTATAACTTGAATTCAAGATGAGAACAGGCTGTTTTCAAACTTACTGAACGACTTCAATCAGTCATGGTTTTTTAAAGTATGTCAGTATATTCAAGGGCTTCCCCGGTGGCTTAGACAGTAAAGAATCTGCCTGCAATGCAGGAGATCCAGGTTTGATCTCTGTGTCTTTAAAATCCCCTGGAGAAGGGAATGGAACCCACTCCAGTATTCTTGCCTGGAAAATCCCATTGACAGAGAAACTTGGTGGGCTACAGTCCCATGGGGTTGCATAGAGTTGGACATGACTGAGTGACTTTCACTCACTCGCTCACAGTATATGTAAATAGCAGTATATATAAATGTTTTAACTTTTATAAATAAGTTGTTTTATATAATAATTTATAAAACATCATTAATATTAGAAAGGTCACTGCATCATTTCTGGGGACACATTTCATTATTTGTTTTAGTCAAATACACGAAGGATCTAAGCTGAAGATACAAGCTGTACATCCATCACTGCTTTGGTTTTGCATAAATGCAAAGGAAGAATTTAATATGCCCATGAGCCTTCTTAAATGTTTATTTCTTGAGTTAAAATGATGTAATTACTGATACAGAGAACATGAAAGGAAGGCTCTATAGCTGAATGGTCTGTGTGTTCTTGTGTGTATTTTTTTGCCAGTTAAAACAAATGTGCTTCCCGACAGCTATGCCTTGAGGTTGGAATATCATGAAGATCATTTTCACTCTTCCTATTCTGGTCTCAGATCCCCCTTCTAATTTGTCTTACTCTCAGTTCTTTACCATTTCTAGCAATCAAGAGACGCCGACCCATGGATCCTGGGATGGCCCGAGACACATGCTTAGGGCTGCCTGGCTGCCGCATCATCACCTTTAGAACCAAAGTGCACAAGAAAGGAGTTACATGAACTAAACCTCTGAGAGCCTGAAATCAGAGGGCAGGCTGCTGATTTTGTTTTTTGAGAGGTGGCAGTGAGAAAGGGTTTTTGTTTTATTTCTTCTGTTTTTGCTGGGAATAAGAAGAGATAATTAAGATTTTTAAAGATATTGTCATTGGATAAAGATTTTCCTGTGAGTCTAGAACTACTTGGGAATGTCTAATAGAAGGAAATGTCACTGACTTCCTAGAAGATGTTGTCGGACACTTGAAGAAAGGCAGGGCTGAGCTGAGGCTGACAATCTAGACATGCACTTGAGTTTGGTAGCTGTGTCCCACACCTCCAGCCAATGCTTGAGTCAGTAGCTGAATATCTGAGTGTCTTGCAAAGCAAGACATTTCATGCAAAAGCATGAAAATGTAGGTCACCTCAGGTGCATTCTATTATTCTTTCTACTTCTGTTTACATTTTGAAATTTTTCAAAATTAAAGAAAAAGTTTTGAAAGATAGCTATCAATATGCCCCGGACAAAAGTTGTGTTTCTGGAACGTCCCTGGTGGCCCACGCGTTAAGAATCCACTTTGCAATGCAGGGGCCTGCTCAGAGAACTAAGATCCCACATGGTGTGGAGTACCTAAGCCTCGAGCCGCAAACTACTGAAGCCCACGTGCTCTAGGACCCGTGTGACACCACTACTGCAGCTGGTCCACCAGCTGGAAAGGCCACGTGCTGCAAAACAGGCTCCACGTGCCCCAACCAGGCTCTGATGCAGTCACAGAAACACATGTGTTCCCTAGGACACCCAGATGAAAGAATGTAGGTGGAACAGTGAGACAGTTTACACAGGTGGCACACAGCGCGGGGCCCTGGGTCACCTGCACGGTAGCTACTTCACGACAGCGACTCTCAGCATCTCACAACTCAGGGATGAAGCCAGCTTCCCCGAAGGAGCCCTCTCTTCTTCAGAGCAAACACAATCATAACTCTCAAAGCGAGGTTGTTAGTAGATCCTCCCCAGCTCTGTTGAGATTTCCCTGTGCTCCATTAAAAAACCCACACATTTGTACATGTAATAAGCTTCATTGAATCGATGCTGTTGAAATCTATACTCTGTTCTAAACGTTTCCCTAGTTATAATCATGACAACTTCCTCCCAGGAAGAGAGAAAATGCCAAGATCTACAAGTATGAACATATTCCATCGCTTACACATGATTCTTAATGTCACTCTCCATTTTGCCACCATGATAGCCAGGCAAGCTCTCAAGAAGTCAACATTTCCTGCTTGTAGAAAAGAGCTCTAAATACAACTATAACTAAGGAAGTTGCAAATAAGTCCATATTTTTAAACATCGTTCTCACTTATCAGTTTCATTATGACCCTTGCCCTCTGTGAGAAAGGGGGTTTTAGTGTGTTCAGATCTTACCTTGGTAAACGGCTTTAAACCCAGGCGAGGCTATGCTGTCATCAGACTGTAGGTGCAGCCACATCTGGTTGCTCATACTCACGATGAGGTCAGGAACACTGGATCCAGTGAGTCTGCAGAGACAAGAAACACCAAAACCATGGTTTAAGGCGCCAAATAGCTCCACTTCTACCTTGATGGGGCTGGGTGGGGTGTCCTTCTGCTTAAACAGGCACACCATATAAATATAAGACCCTCTTTCAAAGAATTTATAGCCACTTGTAATTTATATCCATAATCACAATATCACTGACCATTTACAGTAGTGATTCTATATTATAACTGCAAATTTGTATCTTTGACTTTAAAAATCAACATATGGTGGCTGACACCTCTGTGTGTTTGGCACTGAAGGTTTCTTCTACTGTTGTTTAGTTGCTTAGTTGTGTCTGACTCTTTGCAACCCCATGGACTGTAGCACACCAGGCTTCCCTGTCTAACATCTCTCAAAGTTGACTCAAACTCATGCCCATTGAGTTGGTGATGCCATCCAACCATCTCATCCTCTGTCATCCCCTTCCCTTCCTGCCTTCAATCTTTCCCAGCATCAGGGTCTTTTCCAATGAGTCAGCTCTTCACATCAGGTGGTCAAAGAATTGGAATTCCAGCATCAGTCCTTCCAATTAATATTCAGGACTGATTTCCTTTAAGATTGACTGGTCTGATCTCCTTGCAGTCCAAGGGACTCTCAAGAGTCTTCTCCAGCATCAATTATTCAATGCTCAGCCTTCTTTATGGTCCAACTCTCACATCCATACATGACTACTGTTAAAACCATAACTCTGACTATATGGACCTTTGTCAGCAAAGTAATGTCTGATTTTTAACATGCTCTCTAGGTTAGTCATAACTTTTCTTCCAAGGAGCAAGTGTCTTTTAATTTCATGGCTGCAGTCACTATCTGCAGTGATTTTGGAGCCTAAGAAAATAAAGCCTGTTACTGTTTCCATTGTTTCTCTATCTATTTGCCTTGAAGTGATGGGCCCAGATGCCATGATCTTCATTCTCTGAACGTTGAGTTTAAGCCAGTTTTTTCACTCTCCTCTTTCACTTTTATCAAGAGATTCTTTAGCTTCTCTTCACTTTCTGCCACATGGGGGGTGTCATTCTGCATATGTGAGATTATTGTTATTTCTCCTGGCAGTCCTGATTTCAGCTTGTGCTTCATCTAGCCCAGTATTTCGCATGATGTACTCTGCAAAGAGTTGGATGTGACTGAGCGACTAAGCACACACAAGCATACATAGTCTGTATATAAGTTAAATAAGCAGGGTGACAATATACAGCCTTGTTGTACTCCTTTCCCAACTTGGAACCAGTCTGTTGTTACATGTCCGGTCTAACTGTTGCTTCTTGACCTGCACACAGGTTTCTCAGGAGGCAGGTAAGGTGGTCTGGTATTTCCATCTCTTGAAGAATTTTCCACAGTTTGTTGTGAGCTGAGTTGATAGACTGAGTCAAATCAGAGTATTTATTTACCTAAGGTGCACAATCAAGTGCTAACTTGCTAGGGCTTATCTATATCCTTGACGTTTACATGTGTGCATGGAGAAACTGGGAGGCTTGGTCACCCTCTGTGGTGGGCAGATGTCCCTTCCTGCTGGGTGAGGGACCGCATCACACCATGAACATGGAAGCTTGCCTAAGCCAAGAAAATTATGGTTCACGCACATAATGCATGGCTTGCACAGTCTGGAGTTTTTATGTACCTTTACCACAAAATGCCTTTGAAAATTATACCTTAGGATGGAATCTTCTTGAGCACTAAAAATAAACACCAAGCCGTGGAATGACAGGGAGGAGACATGAACACACTGACTCAGTGACAAAAGCCAGTCTGAAAAGGCTGCATTCAGTATGAGTCCAACTCCAGGACTTTCTGGAAAAGGCACAACTATGGAGACAGTTAAAAAAAATCAGTCATTGCCAGGGGTTGGGAAGTGGGCGGGAGGAACAGGTGGAGCATGGGGAATTTTTAGGGCAGTAAGGCTACTCTTCATGATACTGCAGTGATGGATATATTACAGACACATGATGGATACTGTAACGACGTCTACACATCGCTGTAGGTTTGTCCAAACCCACAGACTTCAGCATTGAGAGTGAATCCTAATGTAAACCATGAAGTTGGGTGATGATGTGTCCACAGAGGTTCATCTTTGGAAAAAAAAAAAGTGCAGCACTTTGTGTGGGATCTTAATAATGGTGGGGGTGGGGGTCTGCGCATGTCAGACAGTGGTGCTGTGGAAAGCTGTCTACCTCCCTCTCAGTTTTGCTCTGAAAATAAACCTGCTCTAAACAAACCTAGGGGACACACACACACACACGAGGAACTCAAAGGTGACCACACGTTAGAAGCATACTGACCAGGACCACAGCACACACAGCTGACAGATTTGGCAAATGCACTGAACGTCCCTTCTGCATATTAAGGCCCAGGTCACAGCGAACGGAAGCTTCAGTGAAGCATTCATCGTGTGTTAACAAAACAGTCACACAGTGGCTGCCGTCAGCCAGTGAGGGGAAAGACTAAATTCATTGACTGAAGTCCCCATGCGGGCGGAAAAGCATGTGGAAAGAGAAAAAGTGTGAGAAAGGAAAAGTCAGTTCAGCCAAAACCAGCGTCTGCAATCAGAGGGGAAGCTCTGCGGTCAGCAAAGCAGCTTCGGGGGGTGAGCACATGGTCCGCCCAGGGATCACATCCCTGGGGACCAGAGCGGCCTTCTCCCCCGAGGCGCCACGGGCTCAGCTCCTCGGGGCTCGGCTCCTCGGGGCTCGGCTCCTCGGGGGAAGATGCACAGCGGTCCTGACACGCGTGCGTCCTCAGTGTTACACAGATGAGGGAAGGAAGGGTTTCAGTGAGTGATGGGCAGGCACCAAACAGGTGCTCCTTCTGAAGATTCACCCCTATGTGCTGCTCTATATGCTTGTTTGAAGACAGACTTTTTTCCCTCCCTATGCATAGATTTTATTCAAGTGTAACATACCCAAAATGGCACCGAGCATGGATGTCTGGCATTCATGTCTGCTCTGACTTAAAATATACTATTCTTTCTTCTGTTGCTCAGTCCTTCCAGAAAGTATCCTTCCGAGCCTTTTGCTTTCAACTATTCTATGTATATAAATATCTTATGTTTCTGTCTTACAGGCGTCAAATACTTGTTTTATATTTTCTTAACTTTTATTTACATTATTTTTATCCAGAGATTTTAGACTTTTATTTAGAATATAATTGCTAGTAAATGAAAGTTCGTATTTCTCATGTTCTTCCTTTTTTTGATTAGCCAATGTTTTTACTGTCTCTTTAATCTAACAGCTTGTTTTTTTTCCCCAAAACTTCAAAGATACCATTCTATTGTCTTTTTACTAATTTTTTTTATATTGAGAAGACTTCTGTCAATCTTACATTTGCCCCTTTGAAAATAAAATTTCATTGCTTATGCTAACTGTAAGATTTTTCCCTGTTTTTCAGCAAATTTATTACAGTGTGCTGGGCTGAGTTTTCTCTCGTTTATGCCAAATGTCTTCGAGAATTTCTTGAATCTTTATCCTGATGCCTGTTGTTAATATTCTTAGGGATAATGTCTTCAAATATTAGTTAGGTCCCATTTTCTCTTTCTCTGCTTCAACTCCAATTACACATGTATCTTCTGTACATTTTCTTTCTGCTTCAGGTTGAATATTTTCTACTATTCAACCTTCTAGGTTCAAGCCATATCTATTGAGTTCTTTATTTCAGATGTTGTATTTTAAAATTCTTAAAATTTCCATTTGATTTGTTGCTATGGATTCCAGCTTTCTGAAAAAATTCTTGATCATTTTATTTATGTTCTGAAATATATAAAACAATTATCAAAGTCTTTAGTGATAACTACACTATTTGGATGTCCTTTATTTTTACTATTGTCTGTCTCTTGGTTTTGGGTCATTGGGAGTTATTTCCAGACATTTTGGGTGAATGCTAGACTTGGTAATGAGCCACTGTAAAAGCTGTGCTTTTATCTTCTTCCTTGGAAAATTTAATTTTCTTCTGGCAGTGAGAGTAACCACCTTGATTCACTCCATCTTTGGAAGGACTTCAGGCTTTGTTTCAAGGTTGTTGATTTCCCACTGCTTACACCCTCTTCTGCCACAATTTGGAGACCACAAGTACATATATTTACACATGCCATCAACGCGTCACATTAATTTCACCTCTTCCACACTCCTTTCACCATTTCCTGCTTTTTGTCTCTACCTTCTCAGTCTGAGTGTCTCCTGTCAACATCACTGAAGTACCTCCTAACTTATCCTCCTGGTCTGGTACCACTTCTGCCCCACCGCCTCCAACACTTGACTTAATTTTAAGTTGCTTAAAATGCAATTATCTTGTATAAAAATTTCACACATTGAAAATATTTATAATGCCAAATTAATTATTTTAGAAATATCTCAGTGCAAATACTTTGAATTTATTTTATTTCTATACTGGACTTCATTTTAATACAGTTTTATGTTAGTCTATAGATTCATATAAAACTAAATAAGCATGTACACTGCTATACTACAAAGTTCCTTCAATCAAAATTAAATTAAGATGATGTGCATTACTCTAGTTTCAGAATTTAATCCTGATACTTAAGTGATTGCTGTATTTATGAAAATTATTGTAAATGACTTGGTACAATCATTTATTTTTTAAGTTAATTATTTAGCACATTTATAAATTACTTAACCATTCAGGAGATATTTTATGTTAATTTTTTTAATTTTACAAAATTATTTTCTAATTATTTAAAACAAAATACTTCCCTTTTTGGTTCTTTTTTTCTCCCCCAGAAGTACTTTGGTTTCCTAGTACTGACAGAAATATATGTTTAAAATAAATAAGCAAATACTATTACCCTCTGCAACTGTTTGCTGAAAACAGGAATTTTTTTCTTTCAGCAATTTATAATTGAAAAATATAATAAATGCTAGTTTTGGTAAAATACTTTAACAGCCATCACAACACATAAGCTGTAACTGTTTTATTTAAAACAGCTTTATTTTATCCAAAAACTCCAAAATAAGATTATTCTAATTAACCACTAAG